TTGGATCCGCCTCTGACTGGAGATGTCTATATTGGAGCACGGGAGAGGCTCTACCAACTCGACTTGAAACTAAATCTGAAACATACCATGAATACTGAAAGTGTACTGATCCAAATGGAGAGATTGTAAGTGAAAATCAACTCATTGCCTTTGTGATCACACCTCAGAACGACACGTCCATCACATGTGATGGCTGATGCGCTTTCTGTGAGACAAGGAGCCTTGCTAATATATCATGATGTACAGGAAAACTATTTCCATTTTATGACAACAGAATACATTCCTACTGTTGGAGCTGATATTTTGGGTGCTGACTTTGTAAATGGTTTGAGGGTATCCCCAAAACTGAGCATTGTCCTATTCACAGGCGTCAAAGGAGGAAGAATGATTTTATGTTAAAGCACAACTTTTAAAACTCTGAATGGAGGACAAATCATATCCTAACCTGATACCGCTAGCCAACGAACACATACCGATATTACAAATATAATCTCTGTTATTTCATGTCTAGGGCAGACACCGTCTATTTGTGACGCCTGTGTCGCAATACACAAAATATGATCTATTGATCTATTTTTGGAATAGGGGGCTCATACCATTATGGTATGGGGAAAAATAACAAACATGTTTTTATTTTATCAAATTTCACATTTTCAAAATAAATGAATATAGTTTTACGCACATAGAATAAACTTTATCCCACAAATAAATGACCAGAAAAAATAAAAATGGTTATTCCTATTCTGTAAAGTGCTCCTGTATAAATTAAAAAATAGTTATGGTAAAAACATTTTCTGTAAATAAATGGTACATTCTAAAAGCGGAAGTAGTGCTTTTAATCGAAGCATATTCAGTTTTCAGGCCGACATTTTATAAAACATCATCACCTGCCTGGTGAGAATTACTGATTTAGCTTGATATCTGCCTTCTGTTGAAACCAGGACTAAGGGTGAGTAGTATATGAACATTGATATATTTAGATAATCAAATGATTTACAATCTTTATTCGACAAGACTAAATATTCACTATATTAACAATTTTTGATTAGATATGAGTAATATAATACAAGTCATGCCATATTTCATTTGTTAATGTTATTTTCTTTATAGGATTTGGAGGGTGTTTAAATATGGTTGAAGGGCTTAAAAGTGACACTCTTTTTTTTTGGAGTGTAATCACCATGACGTCCTTTTTATCAAGGTTTCCGGCATGTGCTGATGTTTATTTATCGATATGTAATAAAAAATAAAAACACCACTTCATGGATAGTTCATTGAACATAATCAATACATAAATTATGGTTAATCTCCATCTAATTTGTGCACGGTACAATACATTACATTAATCCACGTATGACACTCTACACGCGCAAAATAATAACAGCAGTTCAATTCGGAAGAACAGCACTGGATCTGATGAGGCTGCCCTCGTAAAACAAAATCATTATTATCATTATCTATATTATATTTGATTGTATTTTTAAAGTTTCTTATTATGATTTTTACAGATTGACATAGAAGCCTGAAGTTCTGGAAATCTCTACAGGCATGGATCGGGAAAAGATGAGCGAGTTGCTGCTCTTTCTGATCCTCATATCATGCCACCCACAGTCCATCCAATCAGCTCCTCTTTCCTCCTACCTGGTATCATCCTTTACCCCTGCTGACTCTGACTCCACCCTACCATTCAACCACATCGCCATCAACAACGTCAATGGAGATGTCTATATTGGAGCACGGGAGAGGCTGTACCAACTCGACTCTGAACTAAATCTAAAGCATACCGTGAATAATGGAAAGTGTACTGATCCACCAAATGATGGGAATGTTAATGACAATAAACTCCTTATTGTGGTGACAACACCTCAAAAGAACACTCTCATCACGTGTGGATGTTGTGAAGGTTACTGTGAGACAAGGAGCTTGACTAATATATCACATGATGTAGTGAGGTATGATTCAACCAATGGTCAGTCAGTTGTAAGAGCAGATGATCTACCTACTGTTGGAGCTGTTGCTCTGGGTGCTGATTATGAAGATGAAGGTGTGGGTACTCCAAATAAATCATTTTACCTATTTACAGGGTTAGGTGGTCCTGGTAGCGAAACCACCTTCATTTTAAAGCACAGTCTTTTAGACGTGGGTTCTGGGCAAACAATACGACGATCTACTGACCCGTCGGATAATGGATTCAAACAACTGATTGCTTTCAAGGATTATCTGTACTATTTCATCTATAGAGAAAGCAGTTTTAACTTGGGACGTCTATGTCGTAATTCACTAGATAAAGAATTTGAGTCATACACAGAAATAGAGCTGCAGTGTGGATCTTACAATATGATCCAATCTGCTCATATCTGACCAGCAGGATCACAGCTAGCTGACTCACTGAATATCGACAGCACCGATGCCTTATTGTACGCGGTCTTTTCAAATGAGGGCTCATCTGCCCTATGTGTCTACAAGATGAGTGATGTCCAGCAGAGCTTGGAAGATGCTGTATTAGGATGTATTCAAGGAACTAGCAATGGCACATCAAACAGTTACCTGCGTGATAGCATGTGTCGTGATCCTTCAATTCCAGTAAGCCAATGCAAAAAAAATTAACATAAGTATGAAAGTTATAATATGTCAGTTCTTCTTAACTAATCTAACAGAAGGAGTACCCGCAATGTGTACAACGGATGATGTATACAATATATGTTGCGAAATCGATTTGCTATAGCTTTTTCATATAATTAAAACACAGATACAATTCACAGTCAGCGGCCCTGCAATTTTGATCATTAAGGGACGAATCTATAGAGAAAGGCACCAAGGCTGAGTAACGAATTTCGCGGTACATATAGCCAAAGATCTTTGATAATTTTTCTGGTAACCCAATATACCATTCCAGATCCGAATTACGAGTCGAATCGTAAATCGTTTAATTTACTAAATAGTATTCCACCTGAGCATGATAGAACCATTACCTGCACAGCTACTCTGAACTAGGAGCCCAGTTTAAAAAAGCAACTAATACAATAGAAATATATGGCGAGCAGTGGAGCATATTGATCAAGCGTTGTGAATGTTGTATCAACGCATGGGTGTCCACAGTTAATGCCTTGGAACCAATGTACTTCCACTTCCAAAAACCTTAGTTACCTTTCATACAAACGATATGAACATCAACATACACAATTATTCAAGGAAAACGAATTCGGTATCACGCCATATTTGCACCACCACCATTGTTTGCTACAGAAATATACGTGGGGACTAAGGGTATGCTCAGCATTTGCGTTTAAACAAGTATAGTCTTGGCTTGTCTTCGCAAATGCATATTGGCGATCGTTACTAGTAGTATCCTCCCGCTTTCATTTTGTCAGGTTCGGTCTAATGTGTTTAAATGTACAGTCAGTAGAACAGTATCCCTATAAACCTATCATCACAATTTTTAAATGTGATCCATCATGTTTACCATAGACAGAGACATCACGCAATAACATTTATGTTACATATGCAGGGGCTGATTAGATGCGTGTTTCTTCAAAAATGTGAAAAATCCCTTCCTTTTCTTTTCTTGACAGGTCTTGTTCACACCACCAGATACAGTCCAATGTACAGCCTAGTATTTAGATGGTGATCGTCCGCCAGATTTCATTCACAAGTATGCCACTGGAACGGTTCCCCTCTCTGTCTCACCCATCATCACCATTCATGATGTGATACCCACCTCCATAGTGACAACCATACAGAGACAACATACAGTGGCATTCAGAGGTGTTGTGGTCGAGTGGATACGTCGCCGGACTGCCGATCACAAGGTCCGCGGTTCGAGTCCCGCCGCTGCACTAATGTCCTTTGGCAAGACATTGATCTACATTTGCCACACTCCACCCAGGTGAAATAAATGGGTACCTGGTAGGAATTTATTCCTTGAAACGCAGCGCGCGTAACAGCTGCACTGCTATAGCCAGGGTAATTATGCTGCATTATTGTAGAGCGCTTAGAGACTTCTGACAAAGTAAGTGTTAGGCGCTATATAAGCACTGTAATTATTATTATTATTCATAGGAGATACGCAAGGGAAATTACATAAGGTTTGGTACCTTTACAATGTATATAGATCATCAAGAAAATTGTACCTGCTTATGTTACACGAAGATTGTATACAAGTAACTCTGTTTATTGTATATATAAATATATATATATATATATATAAATATATGTTATGTATCCACCAGATAAGTTGAGATTAATTTGTCAACTCAATAAACTAATTTTCCTATGAATTTTTTTTCTCAATAAATTTACCCTTCCACAGTTTTCCTTTAAGCAATGACAAACTTCATACAAGACATATACCTCGAGTGTGTTTGTCATACAAATTATATATCGGCAATAAAAAAATTACATTAAATGACAAACATAATTACAGCAAGATATGATTTGTATTACAATTGTATAAAAAAAAACTCTAAAAACGTTGAGTTAACCAAAAGATATAAAATATATTGATATTTCATTTGAGTACTGATCAACAAAATGCCTAATTACTTGAAAATCTTATATTGTGCTATACAAATCATATCCTAACTTGACAGCGCTAGCCAACAAACACATACCGACATTACAAATATAAACTCTGTTATTCATGTCTAGGGCAGACACCGTCTATTTGGGACGCCTGTGTCGCAATACACAAAATATGATGTATTGATCTATTTTTGGAAAAGGGGGCTCATACCATTATGGTATGGGGAAAAATAACAAACATGTTTTTATTTTATCAAATTTCACATTTTCAAAATACATGAATATAGTTTTGTGCACTTAGAATATACTTTATCCCACAAATAAATGACCAGAAAAAAATTAAATGGTTATTCCTATTCTGTAAAGTTCTCCTGTATAAATTAAAAAATAGTTATGGTAAAAAAAAATTCTGTAAATAAATGGTACATTCTAAAAGCGGAAGTAGTGCTTTTAATCGAAGCATATTCAGTTTTTAGGCCGACATTTTATAAAACATCATCACCTGCCTGCTGAGAATTACTGATTCAGCTTGATCTCTGCCTTCTGTTGAAACCAGGACTAAGGGTGAGCAGTATATGAACATTTATATATTTAGATAATCAAATGATTTACAATCTTTATTCGGCAAGATTAAACATTCACTATGTTAACCATTTCTTATTAGATATGAGTAATACATGTCACGACATTTTTTGTAGAATGTGGAGGGTGTTAAAAGTTGGCTGAAGAGCTGTCATGGTAAATGACAGGTCATTTAAAAGTGACATATTATTTTTGTGGAGTTTAATCACCATGACGTCCTTTTTACCAAGGTTTATATCATGTGTTGATGTTTATTCATCGATATGTAATAAAAAAAAAAAAAACACCTTTTCGTGGATAGTTCATTGCACATAATCAATAAATAAATTATGGTTAGTCTCCATCTAATTGGGTGCATAGTACAATACATTAAATTAATCCACGTCTGCCACTCTACACGAGCAAAATACTAATAGCAGTTCAATTAGGAAGAACAGCACTGAATCTGACGAGGCTGCCGTGGTAGAACAACATTATTATTATTATTTATATTATATTTCATTGTATTTTTAAAGTTTCTTAATATGGTTTTTACAGATTGACATAAAAACCTGCAGTTCTGGAAATCTCTACAGGCATGGATCGGAAAAAGATGAGCGAGTTGCTGCTCTTTCTGGTCCTCATATCATGCCAGACTCGATCCATCCAATCAGCTCCTCTTTCCTCCTACCTGGTGTCATCATTTACCCCTCCTGACTCTGACTCCACCCTACCATTCAACCACATCGCCATCAACAACGTCACTGAAGATGTCTATATCGGAGCACGGGAGAGACTCTACCAACTCGACTCAGACCTAAATCTCGAACATTATGTGAATACTGGAAAGTGTAGTGATTCAAATAAAGATAATGATAATAAACTACTCATTGTGGTGACAACACCCCAGAAGAACACTCTTATCACTTGTGGTGGCTGTGACGGGTTCTGTGAGACAAGGAGTTTGACTAATATATCGCATGATGTAACGAGGTACAATACATTCAATTCTCAGGGGGTTGTGACAACAGGAGATGTACCTACTGTTGGAGCTGTTGTTCTGGGTGCTGAATTTGTGAGAAATGGTGTGGGCACTCCAAATGATAGCTTTTACCTATTCACAGGGGTCAGTGGTAGCGTAGATACTTTTATTGCAAAGCACAATCTTTTAGACTTGGATACCGTGCAAAACATACCACGATCTGGTGTCATGATGTTGAGTTTATTCAAACATCAGATTGCTTACAAGGGTTATCTGTACTATTTCATATCCAGAAAAAATAGTGTGCACTTGGGACGTCTTTGTCGTAATTCACTAGACGTGTTCTTTCAGTCATACACAGAAATAGAGCTGCAGTGTGGACCTCACGATATGTTTCAATCTGCTCATATCGGACCAGCAGGATCCCAGTTAGCCGACTCACTGAATATCGACACTACGGATGCCTTATTGTATGCGGTATTTTCAAAAGAGGGCTCATCTGCTCTTTGTGTCTATAAGATGAGTGATGTCGAGCAGAGCTGTGGCGATGCTGTTTTAGGATGTTTTCAAGGAACTAGCACTGGTACAACGAACAGTTACCTGCTTGATAGCAGGTGTCGTGAAATTCTAGTAAGTCAACGTAAAATAATTAACATAAATATGAAGGTTATAATGTGTGCGTTTTTCTTAACTAATCTAACAGAAGTAATCTTACAATAGTTTCCGCAACGTTTACCATATATGATGTAAATATTTGTTGTGAAATCTAGCAATAGCTTTTTCATAATTAAAAAAAAAAACCATACAATACACAATCTGTAAGCGGCCCTGCAATATTGATCAGGCGGGGACGAATCCATGGGGAAAAGCATCAAAGCTGAGTAGCGAATTTCGCCTGAAGTAGAATTGTATGACAAGTTATCTAGTAACTCAATTTACCAGATACAAATTACGAGTCAATTCGTAAACCGTTTAATTCACAAACAGTATTCCAACTGAGCATGATAGAACCATTACCTGCACAGCTACTCTGAACTCGGAGCCAGGTTTAAAAAAGCAACTAATACAATAGAAACATATGGCGAGCAGTGGAGCATATCGATCGGGCGTTGTGAATGTTGTATCAACGCATGGGTGTCCAGAGTTATTGCCTTGAAACCATTGTACTTCCACTTCCACTTCCAACAACCTTAGTTACCTTTCGCACAAACTACAACAAAATCAGCATATATAATTCAAGGCAAACGAATTCGGTATCACGCCATATATGCACCACCGCCATTGTTTGATACCGAAAGATACGTGGGGACTATGGGTATGTTCAGTTTTTTGTGTTTACAGTTTAGTCACGTAATGTATTTTGGCTTGTATTCGCAAGTAGCATATTGGCGATCTTTACTAGTAGTATCCTCCCGCTTTCATTTTGTCGGATTCAGTCTAATGTGTTTAAATGTACAGTCAGTAGAACAGTACCCCTAACCCATCATCACCATTATAAATGTGATCCATCATGTTTACCATAGACAGAGACATCACGCAATAACGCTCATGTTACATATGGAAGGGTTGAATAGATGCGTGTTTTTTTTTAATGTGATAAATCCTTTCTTTTTCTTTTCTTGACAGCTTTTGGTCACACCACCAGATTCAGTCCAATGTACCGCCTATTATTTAGACGGTGATCGTCCGGCAGAATTCATTCACGAGTATGCCAGTGGAACGGTTCCCCTCTCTGCCTCACCCATCATCACCATTCCTGATGTGATACCCACCTCCATAGTGACAACCATACAGAGACAACATACAGTGGCATTCATAGGAGATACGCAAGGGAAACTCCATAAGGTTTGGTACCTTCACAATGTATATAGATCATCAAGAAAATTGTACCTCCTTACGTTACACGAAGATTGTATACAATTAACTCTATTTATTGTAAACAATATATTGTATATATCCACCAGATAAGTTTAGATTAATTTTTCAACTCAATAAATTAATTTTCCTCATTTTTTCTCATTAAATTTACTCTTCCACAGTTTTCCTTTATTATGAATAAGCAATGACAAACCTTATACAAGATAAATACCTCGAGTATATTTGTCATACAAATAATATATCGGCAATACAAAATTTACATTAAGTGACAAACATAAGATATGATTTGTATTACGATTGTATAAAAAAAAAATGTAAAAACGTTGAGTTAACAGAAAAATATAAGATATTGATATTTCATTTGAGTACTGATCAACAAAATGCCTAATTACTTGAAAATCTCTATTATATTGTGCTATGTAAAAAGTGTTTTACATATTCAAATTTTGTTTCGCTTAAAATAACTAGGCTTACATGTTTACGATATACAATAGGTGACCTTATTTATATTTGTACCGTCTTCACTGACAGACCGTTCTCTGCCCTATAAATACCCTGAACATTTTATCTTGCTTATTAGGAACAAAATCGAAAACACGGAACGTTATTTTGTTTGTGATTTCTATAAACAGTTGAACATAGTGAACAGTACATTTGGTTACGTATATGAAGATGTCTTTCTGGGAGGTGGATCTGTCTTACAAGAGTTGTTCCTTGATGAATCGAAAGAGCTGCTAACCCTTGCTACAACTTCAGACCAAGGTTCGAAGGTAAAAACTCTTTAGAAAGATACAATGTAAATGTGGTTGGGAATACGTATGTCACATTTATAAGACCGCCGCAGAATTCCCACGGTCATATACGGAGCGGTCACATATGTTAGGGTAGCCGCACGTGGTATTTTGAATTTGTGGAGACAGAAAATCTGCGACTGCCGTACAGCCTTTGAAGTGATGACGCACGGTCGCCTCAGGGCGTCCCTGCGGCGGCCGTAGATTTTTGACAAATACTAAGACAGACGCAAGGTAGCCGCAATGTGCCCGCAATGCGGCCAGGGGGGGGGGGCATACGGCGACCGTGCGGCCAGACTGATGCTACCGCTTCACCCCTGGAGCCTACAAAACGCAAGGCCACCGTACGCCCGACGTACGGTAGCCGTGTAACTGTCGATACTTCTATCATTAATGTGTGGCTTAGATAAGCCTTTTTATCTTACAGAAATGCACAATACGCATTGGTTTACTTTCATAAGAGAAGTGACTCTGGCATATTCTTAGCGAATCCTTACATCTTATGAACCAATTTTCTATTCATTTTATTGCCATGATTATATCAAGGAGTAACTCCTTGAACCAATTTTCTATTCATTTTATTGCCATGATTATATCGAGGAGTAACTCCCTGATTATATAGAATTCTTGACGAGCATCTGTGATGCTTGCCCAACACAAGAACTAATAATGTATAGCCGGTCGAAGCAAACTGTGCTACCTGACATTGCAGATGAGTTAAATACCTCTATACTATGGGTTTTTGAAAGGAACATCTTTAAAGTATCTTTGTTATAATAGGAAAAAACTCGACAGCCGATGAAAGCACAGATATGAGTTCTGATATTATGCACTTGCATTTTTATATGATGAATCAGGTTCTCACGTTGGGTTTAGTCAACTGCAGCCAGTTCCAGAGCTGTGAGGAATGCATTGGCGAGGATGGAGGAAATGATGGAGACCCTTACTGTGGATGGTGTACTCTAGAAGCAAGGTGAGTGCATTGTATAGGAAAATGATGACTTTTTCCCCCGCTCCCTTTCTCCAATTAACTTGAGTTGAATACATTTAAAATTTATTCTGTTGACTTTACTTCCGCACAGCAGTAGGATGTGGGACCCATAGTGTTGTCAACTCTTAGAGAAAACAACAAATACGGATTTCACTTTTGCTTAGTTTATATCTTGATAATTCTGTACTTATTAGGCTACGTGAACGAAAGAGCACCTTCTCAAATCATCTTTATTTCTATTCATAATTTTCTTCCTTCCCACACCCTTTCCTCTTTAAGATGTACACGATACGAGGTGTGCCTCTTCCCTGACGAGTCAACTCGGTGGTTATCTTACAATGCATTGCAATGTGTATCCATCTCAGATGTCCAGCCTGACCATAGACTGCCTTATCAAGAAACAGAACGAGATGTAAGTCGATGAAATGATAATTATTATGACTTCATTATATATTGGGACTTCATGTCCATCTAACAAAAAAAAATTGTAGATCGCTGAATATTAAACAACAGACTCGGCTTAAATTCTAATACTCCTTCCCTTTATAAATAGGAATATTGGCAACTTGATTATGCATAGAATTATCGTTGATGCTTGAAGTATTAACACTCCAAACAAAATCGCGATGCAATAAGAATGCTTTCTTTCGCTATCGAGAACATGAACAGGTCAAACAAATCTTGTCTTTTATCTAATACTCGAAAAACTTAAACATAGAAAGTCGATGAAGTTACATTTTATTTTGACCTCATTATATTTTAATAGTTTTGTTCTCCTCTTGTGTATGTCAGCCATCAAATGGAATAGAAAAACTTTCTTTCGCTATCGAGAACATGAACAGCTCAAACAAATCTTGTCTTTTATCTAATACTCGAAAAACTTAGACATAGAAAGTCGATGAAGTTACATTTTATTTTGACCTCATTATATTTTAATAGTTTTGTTCTCCTCTTGTGTTTGTCAGCCATCAAATGGAATAGAAAAACTTTATTTCGCTATCGAGAACATGAACAGGTCAAACAAATATTGTCTTTTATTTATTAAACAATCGAAGAAAGGAAGAAACAAAAAGTCGATGAAATGAAATGAGTTTTTGACCTCTTTATACATTTCATAGCTTTGCCGCGCTATATAACTTACATGGTGTGTTCTCCATCTTCTGTATGCCAGACATGAAATCTAATCTTGTTTTTACATGCGGTAGATCACCATTACCGTTCAGCAGCTACCAGCTCTCAAAGACAGACATCAATACCAATGTGCCTTCGACTCCTACCAGGTCAATGCTACTACTACTCCGGCCAATGTAGTCATGTGCTTATCTCCCCCCATGAGTGAATTGCCGACGATTCCAGAAGAAGGTAGGGAAATATATCAATTATCTCTTTATGAATTTATTTCGTTTTTTAAGTCGAAATTCTCTCTATTCTACAAAATATGACACGGTTCTTTTCTTGGCTTTAAGGTAAAGACCAGTTATAGTCATGCGATTGCATTGTGAACGAAACGTTGTGGAATCGATCAGAAAAGGTTGATCATCTAGCATCTAGCATCTGCAAGGTTCTGGAATCATCAAAATGATAAGAAATTTGGCCCATTCTTCGTAAAGTTACAAGCACTATACACAGAAGGATGTATATGGGACTACCCTATATCTCTCACAGACCATGAGAGAAACAAATTAACCAAATATATGAATTAGTAGGCGGTTTCCCGGCGTAATTTTTTATCATCATGTATTAGCCAAAACATATTCTTTCACATGAATGGTAATGAGAGCTTCCATTTCATTTTTTTGAAATTGGGGCGTTTCCAATACTGGTCTTTACCTTTAAGTTTGCGAAACAAAGAGTAATCACAATTCAAATACAAGCTTGCAAACATCGAAGTTAATTGCGTCAGTACGGCGCATAACGTTGAAGTTTAAACCCACGACTAAGACTCCAAAGGCTGTCGTTTTAGAAGCATATTGCTAGAAGAGTAGAAGAGCAGGAAAAGACAATTGAAACTTTGGAGAAAATTCAATACTGAATAAAAAGGTTCCTATGAGACATAAAATATGTGACAACAAATTGTAGCATACTGTGGTTTCCCTTTTCATTATCTTTGTATTTATTTAGTACTAAATATCGAATGTATTTTTTCCTTATCACTAAATATTGTTTTTATATTACACTTAACATAAAATGATATTCATGTTATATTATGTTGAGGGGGGGGGGGGGGGTAACAAATAAACAATGATTGCAAAAAAAATTAAATACTAAATAAACCTACTACGTCACATTTAAAAGTGCCAAGATTTTGACGACATATTACATTATCCCAACGTGATTCCTATCCGCAATATTTAGGTACTGCAATTTCCCTTAAGAACAATTCTTGAACAACATTGTAACCGATTATCTATATCATCTTCTTTCATTTACATCCAGTGGACCATGTAACATTGACTCTTTCTATTGTCTCAACGGAAATTGGAGTGAGCTTCGTGAGCACGGATTTTATATCGTTTGACTGCACCCATCTTAAATCGTAGGTTCTTTGGTTTCTACGTTTTTTTATATGCCACCTCTGATTTTTTTTTTATATTAAGATACTTATTGTTACTTACTGGGCAAGTGAAAGGTAATTTGTCCCAAACTTTTACTGACTACATATTTGTTTAAGTATTTGTGATGATTTTATCAATTTGACAATCCTTTGCTTGCTTAAATCAAGGAAATTCATGGATATTAAAAAGATACATTCAATGAAATATGATTTCATTATTCCATCGCACTTGGTAACATACTGTGGGCCAATACCCCCCTTTCAGCATTCCATCATATAGGCAAGTGGCTTACTTTCCTACCTTTACAATGGCTATAAATCAAATATTATTGTGACGTGCTATACATTTTAATGTGAGTTATAAAGTGCAATGTCTAGGAATAGATTAAATAGGGACTTTTAGATTGAGTGGACGAGAACACGACGAACGCCGACTGATCATGCATGTCAACCTACTCAACTGCCCATGTTGACTACAATTAGAAATCTTTTAGATCGACGATATACATGCATGCAGGAAGTGACGAACAAAGAAAGAGGACAAAATATACAGTTCCTCATTCTATCCTCAACAATAGGCCGCTTTCGTAATGTAACCAAATTTAATGCATAAGTCTTTGTAAAGTACCTCAATACAAATTATTTTATTCACCTGATAAGAATAATAGTATTTCAATAGGCAGAATCCGAACTGCATACATTAGTTGTTACCAGGTTGGACAAACGTTATGGCTTGACCTACCTAGCAACACTTAATATATGCAGTTGCATTATGACTAATGAAATACTATTATTCTTATCAGGTGAATGAAATAATTTGTATTGAGGCACTTCACAAAGACGTATGCATTAAATTTGGTTACATTACGAAACTGGCCTATTGCTGTGGTAGAACATCCCTTCACTGCTATTATGTAAAAATGTGTAGAACAGGTGAATATGCATGTGACACCTGTTCTACACATTTTTACATAATAGCAGGAAAGGGATGTTCCTTTGTCTACCTGAGTAACTGTATATTTTATGCACACGCGGCATATACTAGTACCGTACTAGATTTAGGAAAATCAAGGTTGACACATTCTCGATCGCCGACTGAGACGATGTGACGCATGCACAGAGACTTAAAATGACGTCACACGTTACAGTCAAAGCTGTCGACGTGCAAATCTAAAAGTCCCTAATGATTTAAGGAGGCCTGACATTTTGCCTTGGCAAAAATCGTTCTACGCTATATTTCGTCAAACATAGGGTTAGGGATTTGGAGTTGCAATTGGGTGTTAGGTCAGGCTTAGATTTAAGCTTATGTTTAGTCTAGAGTTGAAGTTTAGAGTTTGTTTAGTGTATGATATTGACTGCGTCATAATATTCACCAAGCGTTTGTTGTACCATCTAATTTCAGCTAGGTAGCTAGATGCAAGTAAAGACTTTTAATTCTGAGCATCACAGAATTTGAATGGTATCATTCTTTAAGTTCTAGCTATTTCTTGCACTTGTTTTTACTTGTTTCTTCCAGTTGTTCCTCCTGTGTAACAAGTCCCTGGCCATGTGACTGGTGTGTTTACGACAACATGTGTACCCACGATAATAGCTCATGTCAGCCGGGAGAAACAGTGGTGATTGGAGAAAATGTAAGCAGATCTGTTAAATTAAAGAAACATTATCTCTCTCGTTGATCGATACCTTTTAATAATTTCATTAAAGAGTGTTAAATTGGTATCTACGTTACTCATATTTTATGTCAAGGTGTTCTCCTCTTGCTATTCCCAAATGTTACAATTTATGTTTTCTTCACTTTGAAATGTCAAGGTCAAGTATTGGAAAAGCAGACATGTAAACACGAAATAACGTGAGACCAAAGAGATGCGCAAAGAGAGCAAAGAAATAGACCTACTGAAATAAGTAGACTCTGAATTTGAATATGAGTTATGCTTGGAAACCATGCCATTCAGTGAATCCTTCCAATGGGATACTAATACCCCGGACTAATATCATACACGTACATAACAAATATTTATAATAAGCTACAGGTACAATGTGTTTGATGTATTTTTTCTTTTGTATCTTGTATCTATTTCAAATTTATAGAACACCGTAGGTTCCGGAAACAAAGGCCAGAGTTATTGCCCTCAGCTGTTGGCGACATCAGAACGGTTTTTCATACCAGTTAATATTCCTTCTGGTTACTCACTTCTAGCAACAAATCTACCCACAGAGAAGACTAAGGTATAAACATCATCCCATTTGTGGTTTAGTGATTGTAAACTGTTAGACTACCAGGCGCGGATCCAGGATTTCTTAGGGGAGAGGGCCCAATCTTTTTTTTTTTTGCTCCCCCAAATTTGGAAATTGCGCCGGCCGAAAAGTCGCTCAGTGGAAAATGGGGGAGGGGGGAGGGGGGGGGGGGGGGGGGGTAGTGAGCACATTTTTTTTTGGCCCTCGAAAATGTAAAAATTTGCACCCCCCCCCCCTTGGGCGCCAGGGGGGGTCAGGGGGCCCAACCCCAAAAAGGTAAAAATCACGTGTTTTTACACGTTTTTTTCCCAGGGGGGGGGGGGGGAGGGGAGGCCCACCCCCTGGATCCGCCACTTTATACTACTAACCTACTATTACTACTACTACTACTGTTGCTACTTCGACTAACGATCATTTTCGGTAAGGCATTTTACCACTCCCGACGCTCCATTATTATTAGCCGGCTTTAGCACGGCATTCATTACAGCGCTCAATTTGAAAGAACTAATTCCTACCTGGTAGTCATTTTATAGCTCACCTTGGTCGAGTGTGGCAAATGTGGAGTACTGTCTGTCGACAGGGAATATTTCAACAAGCTCTGACAAAAAGTTGCAGATTGTACCTCGTCATCTGCTAAAATCATGAAATTATTTTGTTATAAATTCAATATTTATTCAGGTTCAGTCGTTTGAATGCATCCTTCGTATTGATGGAGTCGGAATACGAGTACAAACTTTCTTCTTCAATGAAAGTTACATTATCTGTAGTGCGGAAGAGGTAAATATGTGTATGGAACCTTAGGAGAACAATTCATACATTATCAATTATCAATTATCAATATTATTGACATTATATGGATAAAAAATAGTTATCTAAACTAGATTAAAACTAGTATTTATAGTCACTTTTATCAAATAATGTGAAGTTATTTAAGTGGAAATACATAACCCTACATGGTACATTAAAGGTATGGCAAAGTTTTGGTATGGGGTCATGACTTTAGTTCAAATGAACCTATTAGGTACATATGCGATTCTACAATATTCAATGATCGTTGTCGCGGTTGAAATCGAGTCTAAAGTAATGAAATTGTAAACAGTAAACTCTTTATGTTGTATAGCACCCTCTCAAGACTGATATTACTTTCGCTCTAAAACAATGTTTCTTGTTGCTATTCCCTTTGGAAATTATATATCAGAACTGCATATTCTGAGATTTTCATGATCGCAGCTACCATGGAATGGCCTTTGAATTTTTGATTATTCAATTTCTCGAAAGCAGAAGTGTTTTAGGTGCTAAATTTTCTAGTGCTTATAATACATCCACAGGGGCATCCAAATATATCAACATTTTAAAGAATTACTATCAACCCAATTTTAAAAAAATTCCCTATTTCGTGTAACAACTTGTCTGTAGACTAATTGTCCTGCTAATGACAATGTTTACTTAATGACTCACTTTTTCACTCCAAATGTTCGTCCGATTGCGCCTTAAGTAATTCTTATATATATTATACATTATACACAATTCTAGATTTCTGCTCGGAGTTCAATAGAATACACAAAAGTACAAGAAATATTGATGCACTTAGGGCTCTATTAAAACAATTTAATTGCATGATTATTTCTTAGATTTGTGTTACCTCTTAACCATCTCCTCCTCATTCTTGTCCTATCTTTTATTCTATCTGCTTCTAATCTTATTCTTCCTCCTTCCCCTTCTCACATTCTTTTTCTCCTTATCGTTATCTTGCTGCTTCTTCTACGCCTTTCACCCTTTTCTTTTATGCTACGGTCACAAAGGTTCGTACGAACTATAATGTCGGACGAATCTTCCTGTTTTTTCATTGTCTTCCCGAATTTCCATTGTCTGAAAATCGTTCATACGGCGTTCGTAGCAGTTCGTAATGGCATTTGTGACCGAGGCTTTAACCGTTCTTCTTTTAGCCTCGGTCACAAATGTCATTACGAACTGTTACGAACGCCGTACGAACGTTTTTCAGACAATGGAAAAACAGGGAGATTCGTACGAAATTATCGTTCGTACGAACCTTTGTGACCGTAGTATTTCTTCCATCTTCTCTAATACCCGCAGTATTTTTAAACTAATCCGTTTGCAAAGTGAATACTTGTATCATTTGATAATAATAATATGTCCATTTATATAGTGCAGCTACTATAATCTATATACTCTAGGAAATTCTTCCTACCGTGTACTAATTAACTTCACTTGTGAGGAGAGTGGCAACTATAGATAATATTACCATTGGCAACAGTGACTCTAACCACTAACCATTATGATCCACAGACCGGTGACAACAAGACCAGGAATCCTATCCTGTATTTCGAAAATGATTACCCTCTACCTTATCCTGTATCATCTATACCCTTATTCACATTACACCTGTATATCATTTTAAACTTTACACTATGTTTGTTTGTACTTTTTTCAGTACATGTTTAATGAGAATATCCTCGAGAAGAATGTAAGCGTCTCGGTTGAGTGGAATGGGCAATACAACATAGATGATCCGACAGACACAAATGGTAAAACACCAATTTCGTTTTGTACCGATATTTTCCATCCATTCAAAAATACGCTTCGGCTAAACAATTAAACAAAATTGTCACCGCAGATCTTCTTTAAAACGGTGAAATTATCACTTCGAAAACATTCCTAATGCGGGAAAATATGGGTTTGTTTCCTTTCATCGACGATTTTTTTTCTCCCTTCATCCTATCAAACATTTAATTGATAAAAATCAACTGTTAGTGTTTAGGAAGAAAGTTCAAAATTATTTCAAAATGAATTACCATTTTCAATTGAGACTTCACTTCTAAGTCTTCATTTGCAAATTTACCTGGAAGATACTTTACACTTAACTAACTGTTCTGAATCATTTTATCATAGCTTGGAAATATAAAAAAGGAATTTTTAATAATGCATTAGACTCAGGGATTGACTACTTTGGTTTGAATTATAAATCATAATTATGTTTTCTTCTTTTCCTTTTAAGTGACCCTGTACAAGTGTTCGGTTAACGGTGGAAGTTGCAGCCGGTGCCTGTCAGAAGAAGCAACCCCATCGCACTTGAACTGTGGTTGGTGTGGTGATGACTGCAATGTCATTCAGAGTGATGTTTGTCAGAACAATCAGTTTCTCAGTCAGAACGACACCCAGCTTTGTTCAGCACCACTTATCACTGAAGTAAGAAAATAATATATCACTATCCGATTCATAAATACTTACCTGACACATTATGCAAGGTCCCGTAAGAGATCATATAATTTTAATTTGAGTAATTCTAATAATATATGAGATTTGGTGCGTGATCTATGTGTAATAATTTTATCAATCATCTATAAAAGTCTTACTTCCAAACGTCCAAGAGTCATTCATGATTATGTTTACAATGAACAAATTAATCTTTAAAATAATATGCATGTGTTTTTAATATTGTCGTGTTTTGGTGTTTAGTTTTATCCCATGTCAGGTCCTATCAATGCTCAAACGAGACTACAAATCACGGGAACTGACCTAGGAGTAGAATTTGATGACGTACTGGAAATAGTCATAGGAGACCTGGCGTGTAATCTGACTGACATGGACTCATTCTATCAGCCAGGACAGAGGTAAAAGCAACAAACAAAGCTTTCATGTGTTCGATGTATTCGTGTTCATAAACGTGTCATGAATGGCCACTGAATGCCTATTACTATACGGGATGGTGACTTTTATTAGTTCCTCCGTGAACTTCCGGTATCACCGAGAGTGCTAAATTGCGGAATATATGTTGGCAATACCGTCTGTATCACATGTACTCTAATTCGTTCAGAATTCCCTTATATCTATACACAATTCTATTTGCTATTCAGCACATAAAATATGCATAAACGTTTGAATTATTTCAAATTTCATGATATCATCGCGTGAATATAAGAAAAACGTACATAATAAAACCATAAAAAAACAGAACAATTTTGGCTGCAAAAAAATGTATATGTGAAATGATCGTTTGTCTGATTTCTTTATTATTGTCAGTGTTAGCTGCATGACTGGGATATCTACTAGACTAATATCAGGACGCATTGGAATCACAGTGAGATCTGGTGAAAGTACCAAGACCGGAGAGAGTGTTGCAGAATTCTTTTACAGGGTAGGCGAATAACAAATCACATTGAAATTCAATTTTACGAACACATTCCCGCTCTAATTCTTTGAAAACCATTGCCGCGGACTTTTCGTTTGATGTATGCGCTGCCATAATAAAATACGCAAAATTGCTGGTGGACTTTGAAATCCTTTGATTCATGACTTGTCAAAACACATGTTATAATATATCCAGACGTGCCAGTGAAGTAAAATTAATAAGCCAATAAAACAATACAAACTTACAGATAATGTTACCTCTTCTGATATTTCTTTGAAATCTGTTTTGAGCTTTGGTATTTTCCTATTGAACAGTTTGTACGGTTTTAATAATAACGTATTGGTAATTTTCCCTACAAGAAAGAATACATATTATCATGTTATTGAGCTCTAATATCGGGCTTTGAGAGGAAACTATTGTAATAATTGAATACAACATTAAAAACGATTCAGCTATAACCTACTCCTTATTGATGTGTAATCCTCTGAAACGATTTATACGAGTAATTTATAGTAATTTTCTTGCTAGGATCCCATTATATCAGGGTTTAGTCCCACGGAGGGGCAGGTAGCAGGGGGGACTGAGATCACAATTACTGGGACGGACCTCAACACAGGAAGGAACATTGAAGCTACATTTGGAGAAGCACAATGCAACAATTTGTGAGTATCACTTATATATATTATGTACCTTAATGGTCAATTTTTGATTCAAGTTTTTAGTAGTATTTATTGTGTGTTGATATATTCAATTAGAAGATTGTAAATGAATTGGTAAATGTACTTCGAACTGCATTTCTACTGAAGGGAGGATATTTTTTATGTAAAAGGATTATGGAATTCTTAAATTTACAATCTAATCACAATCACCCAGTAAGACACACGCATGCACACACACACACACACGCACACGCGCGCACACAACACACACATTGCACCTACGCACATTTGTACTTGCGCACACCTACACAAACCAGTCAGGAGAAGTGAGTCGCATTCATAAACATTACCAATACATAAACTTAACTAAAATATTGAAACACATAAATATTCGGAAGCTAAACTTACCCCCCCCCCTCTCCTCCAGCATGATATATATAGAGCTGTAATATAATGAAATGTGTTCAGAAGACAGTTATATCATTCTGATTTGAATGATTAATAATTTCGATGAGCCTGTTTCTACGTCTTAGACATTTTCATAGATAGTTCTAATGTATAAATTTTCTTTTCCAGGATTATTGAAGATACGATAGCGACTTGCGTCACAAGCAGCTTACAAATGAATGAACAAGTCTCTGTGTTCTTGACCATGACATTCGATGGAGTTGAAAAAACTTTCAAAGACTTCACATTTACCTACTACCCAAACCCAATTATCGATGCCATTGACAGAACTGTGGCTATCATGTCGTAAGGAACAATATCTTTATTCGCATTTCGAACTGGCAGGAGCCTTTTCAAATACTAAGACAAATGGATCGTCTTGCTATTCTTAATCAATGTATTTTTGGCAGATATCTTATACACAAAATGTAAAGGAAATATGTGTAAAGTCAATACTTTATATCTTAATTAAGCGTGTAGCGAGGTGTATTTTGGGCTGTGTGAAACTCTAGTGGGGACAAATAGACAACAGTGAACGAATGGACTGAAAATAAGTATTCTCCATTGTATCTAAATATCTCTCCATTTTACAATTCAGATATTATTATACATCTTTCCCCAGATAATCTTTTAAGTTTGGGGTCCATTCCTCAAGTGAGATTTTTAAACATAGCTGCGTATATGCAGTTAAAATGTTCTTTCAATAGTTTGAATGAAACATGTGATATTTCTTCTTTTGATACAGAGGAGGTCTCAATATCAAACTAACAGGACAAAGATTTGATGTCATCCAGGAACCCCGGATAATAGTTTCGTCACTTACAACAAATGCTAGTGACTCTGAGGTATGTATCTATTACTCTGCTCGTTGTTGTCTGCTTATTCGCAAAGCAGACATGGTCTGCTAGTGTACAAATTGAAAACACACCAGCATGCAATGTGCAGACCGTCAACTTCCTAGGAATCGAAAGACCTCGAGAACGACAGTCGTCAAAACCCTTTCTGACAACTTCTTGAATCGTTTTCAGAGGGTTCGCTAAACTTACTATGTCGGTCTCGTAAATTGTCGGTCGTGTGGGATGATGGTCCCGTGGGATTCCGATCAACTGGGATGCCCCTTTTGTCACATGAATTTGGCTTAATCGTACCGCTTGTTGTTGGGACGCTACAATCCAATTTCAATACTTATATTATTTTATGATTCATCTGGTACCGTGGAAATTAATAGCGAAACATTAGATATTCTTCCAGTACTTGATTTAAAATTCGCTTTCAATAAACGTTGATTTTTTTTTAAAATTCAAGACATGTCGATTTATGTTCCACAGCTCTGCAATGGAACGGAAACTCTTCTCATCTGTCCAACCCCAAGCTTTCCTGACGATGGTATCTCTGCCAGAAGGAGACGAGCTACAAATGGCGTTATGACAGCAAATCTGACCTTTGACTTTGATGGATACATCGTCGACCGCGGCTTAATAGAGTACTACCCAGACCCTATGTACGAAAGCTTCATTGAGCCAAACAGAATCTATGAAAGTGGCAACAGCCGGCTTGAGATCACAGTGAGTCGTGCCTGTTTAATCTAAAATGTTTATTTTAATTATCGTTTCACACTTATTCACGAATGAAACAATGGATTTCTATAAATGTATTTATGTTATCATAATCATAATTGAAAACCCATTAACTACTGACTTCACTTATTCCTACAGGCTAATTTTTTTTTGTCTCTCAAACTTGTATCAAGTTCAAGTTCAAGTTCAAGTTCAAGTTTTATTTATCTTTCTTTCATAACAAGTTTACAGAATATGGCGTTACAAAAGAAAGATTAGGAGCCACCTGGTTCCCGTAGTCAATGGATTATATAATTATACATTTTCATATGAGAGACTTGAAATTAATGTTTCCTCATTATGGCAAAATTTTTAATTTCGTTTATTATGTATCTTGCCAAATGTATATATTTTTAAAATTCCCGTCCGAACTGCCGAGTGAAAAATGGGTATTTTTTGTGTTTCCTGTCTTCATTCTTCCGTTTATGGCACATGCATCTCTTGTGGAAAGAGAGTTTGACGATCTAGTAATAAAAAAATACACACTATGAATATGACTGACAAAGAAAGCGGACAAAATATACAGTTCGTCAGGTAGACAAAGGAACATCCCTTCACTGCTATTATGTAAAAATGTGTAGAACAGGTGTCACATGCATATTCACTTTTTACATAATAGCAGTGAAGGGATGTTCCTTTGTCTACCTGAGGAACTGTATATTTTGTCCGCTTTCTTTGTCAGTCATGTTCAGAGTGAAATAAATACCCTTCAATATTCGTTATCTGCCATCACTATTGAGAATTAACATTAGTAGGAGAACTATACTCCCGCCTTAGGCTTACCTAAACACGTCAGTGAGTGAAAGCAATGTACTACTATTATCACAAAACATATCGTGTATATTGTGAGTGTAATTTGTGTTTTCACTCATTGACAGTGTCTGCTAAGCTGTATACATACGCTCCTTGCATTAATTATTTTCTCTTCGTTTCTAGGGAATTAATTTGGACTTAGCAAGCACAGAGGATGATATTCAAGTTTTGTTGGGTCCCGATGGAGTTTGTGATGTTGATGATCTTGAGATTGATGTATTACGATGCCAGCTACCAAATAAGAAACCTCAACCAGGAAATATCAATGGTACAGTGGAGCCTGGACCTACCCAAGATCTACCAGCTGTAACAGTATGTCAATTTACTTATCTGGCTAGTTTCCTATCATCGTTTTACTACCACAAGATGTCTAACTTACTTATTTTCATAATTTGGGGGATTAATTTTTCAGAAATACATTTTAAAGTCTAATCTGAATGTATGTATTTGTATTTTATTCGTATTTCAAAGAGACCTTTGAGATTCTCATTTTTAAAATTATTTTAAAATCGTAAACAATGTTGATAAACTTTAAGGTATTTACGTAGTGATGATTACGTCCTACCTTTGAATAGTAGAAGTAATTTGTTAAAAGAGTGTCAAATTTTTTTAACTCTTTCTATTAGCTACTAGTATCAGAACTCGAACTGTCTTCCTTATTCTGGCTTGAGGTTAACGTAACTTATGAGGGTGTATCACCACGAGTCCACGCTTCCCCTCTCAACTACCTGATCTATATGTCTTGATCATTATACCCTAACAAATGGCATTGTGACAGTGTTGAACATTTTTGTACGATTTCATTCCTCCTTTTATTTTTATTTTCATAATGAAAGAGTTGAAATAATTGGGACATTATGAGGCTTGTGAATAACAAAACAAAATTTAGGCTGGTAAAATCTGGAAAATTTACAGCACAAATTGATCTCTTAAATTTTTTGATGACTCTTACTTTGAAGTAATCAAAGAATATCTATCAAATGTCACTGTTACATGCACATGATGATCAGAAGATGATAGATACCAATCAAATCAATTACAGGTTTACCATGGAAACTTGGTATTCTACCCTGGCTACGTAAAATACTCTACGACGTCCATCAACATCGGTGCCATTGTCGGTGCTGTGATTGGGACCGCTTTGCTCATCTTCATCCTCGTCATCATCGGCGCCATCATCTTTAGACGAAGTCATCAACGATTAAACAAACAGGTCCAAGTGTTTGAAATGCTGGAGAAGAAGATTCAAGACAGAGTGGAAACTGGTAAAGTTGTAATCTCTCATTACTTGTGATAAATGCTACTCGTTTTACTTTAACGGAATAATTCTACACCCAAGGATAAAATTTAGTCGTACTAAATGATTCTATTATAACAATAGTGCATGTTTGGTGTTTCTCAATATACTAATTACTGTCATGTTTCACTAAAATACTTTGATGACGCAATCCAATCTTAGCAAATAATTGTTTAAGTGGGTCTTGCATTTTCCACGCAACATGTCTCTAAACTGGAGGAAATTGTTAGGAACATGTCCGCAAGAGGACAATGTGTGGACTCTCAATCCAAGAAGTAGCGTAAGAAGTAACCTTCCTCTCATTGTTCTACGTGTTGATTCATGTGGATGAGATTAGGTAAGTGATTTTGAGCGACAACTTGCACTCAATTTATTGAAGGTCCATGTATGTTAAAATGGGCAAATTTATCAACAAATTTGTAGTATTTGGATATTATTGATCGATTATTTTACCACTGTTTGATATGTTTGTTGCAGCTTTTCATGAACTACAGGCTGACATGTCTGAAGTAGAGGAACAAATCAGCCATCTTGGTGTACCCTTTGTGAATGCACTAGATTACTCCACGAATATGCTCTTTGCAGGACTGGCTGTTTTACCACCAACCACGGACCCTGAGGTATATATTTATTCATTTTAATGTGGCCTATTGTCTTGCCAAATGACGTTAGAGTCGGGTTGAGATTCAGCTGAGCACACAGCCATATACTACAAGTTGTTTGGAAATGTCAAAATCCCAATCGATTTAACTATTGCTTGGAAATTTATTTACGGTGAGATATAAACCACATGTCTATGGATTTCAGTCTGATTTAGATAAAAACAATACTATCAATATTGAAGAAAGAAAAAAAGAAGGTTGGAATGGATGGGTCTGTAATCAGAACCTCTTTCGACTGCTCATCTTCACAGTCTAACCAGACGTTTTGAATGAATAAATTAAGCTTTGCAATTTTCTTGATTATATTTACAATTTTTTTAAATCTGCAGTACATGAACTCTGACCTGGAGACTGCAATGATCATGTTCTCTAGACAACTCGGCAATACTGACTTCTTGACTAATTTCATCAAGCAACTTGAAGAACAAAGAAAACCCAAGAGACGGGATAGGTTTGTAACAATCTAGTGCTCTTTAGATTGCCCAAATCATTATGTTATTGAAGTTATGAAATGAAGAAAAGGGGTTCTACATGTATCTGTATATGTTTGTTAGTCCTTCCACCCTTATGTCTTATGAATATATAGCATCCATTCTTACCCCTGATGTTGTGTCCATTCTCTGCCTGTCTGTTTGCCGTTTGTCTATTTGTATGTGTTTCTCTGTTTCTTTCTTTCACTCCCTCTCTATCTCCTCGTACCTTTATCTTCTCTCTTTATCTTATCTTTTCGTTTTCTCCCTCATTGTCTCTCTCTCCATCTTATTTGTTGATCACAACTTTTTCGTTTACAATTGTGTCTGCGATATATCAATATTAATCAAACAATGCACAAATATGAAGAAGAATACAACAAAAGAGAGACTCTATTGAAGAAGTCTCTAACTGATGGACATTTTCTTTTGGTCTATCATAGAGTCAACATCGCGTCATTGATTACCGCCCTCTTGGTGACTGAAGGAAAGTTTGGATATTTCACAGAGTGAGTACAATATATCAGTTTCATAGCTTATGATAGCTCTTACAAATACAAAGGTGTGATTGGTCTACAGCTCGTCACGTGATATCTACTACGAAGATCGTAATTTAACATATTTCACTCCCGGTCATTTTACTCGATCATTTGTCGATGGTTATATTGACCATAGTTATGATCAAATGGGTACATACTTATAATACTGTACCTACAGTATTCTTCTATAAATTGTGTATTATATTGAAAGTTATTTTCAAGCTTACTTATATACAAATAATCCATAGAATCAAGAGAATAGAAATGTCATCATCATTACAATTCAAATTGCTACCGAATAGTATACCAATTGCAATATACATGTAGAAAGTATGAAAAATAGAGCTATTTTTATATGGAAATATCCTCAGAAGGGCAGTTTGCTGAAAAGGATTTTGAGCACATAACCAACTTATAAACTTATGAAACTTTGACTGACTCACTTTGCCAACTGATAGTCGCCAGAAAATGTATCTAATTTTGGACTCATGAAAGCATGTTGATGACAAGATGAATTATAGAAGAGTGTAGCTGTTGTAGACGACATTAGAAAGAGAGTCATGAACATCACAAACATTATAATTAAATTAACACCTGGCCTTTAATTGCGATAGTTAAGTAAAGAGCGATAATTTCAGTAGAACGTTTGGATTATTCATTCGTATTTTCCTATTTCATTACCATGTATTATCTTTCATCTAGTGACGAAAGAAATGAATGATATTTGTATTTATCTATTTATCGGCAGAACTCTGTTCAAGCTCTTGGAAGAAAGTATCGAGGAGGGGGCAGAAAGCGGTAGAGCAAGATCACTCTTCCGGAGGTTCGACACATTAATAAGTTTTTAATTTAGTAATATTTCAAATGAAAGATTATCGTGATCGCAAACAACTGTATAATACAAAATAACAATCAATGCAATATCAATAGCGTTGCCCTTGAGTTGATTTTTCTAAACTCATTGCAGTCGTGTTGTTTAAAAAAGTAAATATAATGTGTAGGTTGAAAAGAATATATGCTGTGTAGGTTGCTTGAATTAATAACTATTTTGATATCTTATTGAAAGTCATTTCAATATTTTTGTCTTTTACAAATAACCATGACTCACTCTAATAACCTTGCAAAAAGTAGCAATTACGGAAATTTGTTGTCAGATATAAAACACTTCTTTCTTCGGAGGCAAGAGCACGTTTCTTTATTATACAATCTTTAATATCTTACTTTGTAGTACCGATGTCTAAAACTTTTTCTTTTGTATCTACTGTGATGCAAGTATAATGAATAAAAATCACTTTAAATCACGATTTAGCATCCGTGTTGAATATTACTTTAATTTTATTTGTTCAGGACTGAGACCATCGTTGAAAAGCTCCTCTCCAACTGGATCTCCCTCTGCATGTATCAATATCTGAAGGTAATTAAGGTTTTACAAAATTTCATTAGCATCGATTATAATAATACGCTGATACGTATATAAGAAAGCAATACCAAACCCGCTGTGACCATTTTGATGGTGTTATACTTTAGACATGGGATCAAACTAAAGAACAACAAAATACTTTTAAATTGGATGTATCGTGCGTAATATAAATGACGGTACAAAGTGAAATGGTTCATCCTCATGATACATTTCACATAAATGCCAATATCTAGTCTAACCAGAATTAAATAAATTATTGTAGTCGTGTCGTATGTATATCACGAATTATCAATGGTCTCACATCTGACCAAGATGCGGGTCAAATCAAATTAATTCAGATTAAAGGATATCGTGCATAACATTTTCGAAACATCTATTACTAAATGTAAATTTTGCTACAATATTTCTCACATTTAAAGAACAACATCAGGTATAATAATTAATTGTGTCATATCATACTTCAAAAGATTACAGAACGAAAATTTGCTTTGGCTTCCAATGTTACCCATATATTTTTATGGATCTAATCGTGTTCTCCGCGTTGTATATCTGAATAAAAAACACAGAGGCAAGTGGCTGAATCTCTGTACCTGCTGTACCAATCCATCAAGATGCAGGTTGAGAAAGGACCTATTGATATCACCACTGGACAGTCTGTCTTCTCTCTGAACTTTGAATGTCTCTTGGAAGAAGAGGTGGAGTTCAACGAATTGGTAATTCAGCTTTTTATTTGTATCTGAGAAGGAAAAAAAAAAGATTGATCCTACATTTCACTGTATTAAACTTGTGACTTATAGTTTAAGGTTCTTGATCGTTCGTTCGTGTCTCCTTAGATCAAGATAGTTATGTAAAGTTCCTTAACTAAAATTAAATTAAAATTAAATCAAGTTCTTCCATCGCTCGATTGCTGCAATGGCCGTTTCATTAACAAGAGCCAGATCTTCATCTGTGCATCCCGTTCCGCTGCACTGCAAGATGCAGTCACAGAGAGTATCTCCTTCATGGGCATAGCCCCCTCTTGCCATATTCGACTTAGGCATTGCCACTTCGGCCACTTCGGCCGCTTCGGCCGCTTGGCTGATGGTGGAGGATTCTGTTCAGGTGGTGGGCCAGAATCAAGGAAGCTGTGTCGGGATATAAATCGTTTGTAGGGTTGTAAGTATCCGTATAGCATGTGTCTGTCATCTGTCGACTGCTTCATCCGTTCCTTTAGGCAGGTGTTAGTGCGCTTTTGGTTAGGAGTTCCAATGCCAGCGAGGTGATATATCTCCTCAACTTTTGTTGGTTTCAGGCAGCCTGTTATCTTTGGATATGTGTTATTGAGTGTGGTGTCAAGCTTCTTCACATGGGCTGATCTGCTCCAAGCTGAGCAAGCATATTCTGCGGATGACATGCAGAGGGCACCAGCTGCAGTTTGTACAGTTTTGGGGTCAATAATAATAATAATAATAATAGTACATTTATAAAGCTTCCCGATGATGGCATTTCGAGATTCTACTTTGTCTATTGTATTCTTGATGTGTTTCTTAAAGGATAAGGTACGATCAAGTTTTACACCTAGATACACTGGATGCTCGCAGTGGTTTAGCTGCACATTGTTCCACTTTAGCTTCAGTTCTCTCTTTGTCTCCCTGTTCTTCAAGTGGAAAACACACACCTGAGTCTTGGATGGGTTTGCCCGTAGGTAGTGTGCTCTGTAGTATTTCGAAAGGCTTGCGAGCGCTGTGTTGAGATGAAGTTCAACAGCTTCGAAAGTACTACGCTGGGCTGTGATGCAGGTGCCATCTGCATAGATGAAGTTTCGAGTGTTCTCTGTTGAAGGGATTTAAGCAGTGTAGATGTTGTAGAGTGTTCGCGCCAGGACGCCACCCTGGGGGAGACCATTTTTTCTTTTTTTTTTTTTTCATCATATTTTTCCCTCCACAGGGATTTTATTGATTTTCATTTGAAACACATACAAAAATATATATTCAAGGTAATTTACATAATAACATAAATAAAATAAAATTGGCTTTTCAAGATACAAGTATTGATGAACTGTTGAGTTAACACAAAATAACAAATCAATAATTCATTTCTAACACTCATGGAAAGAAAAACAAATACAGAAAAAATATCATTTTAAGTAAACAAATTCCTGAATTGAAACCATTTTCTTGTGAATTTATTATTTCTACAGTTCGAATTTGCAATATACTTTTCGTTCTTGAAGTAATTTATAATCGAAACTCTAATATTATCAAAGTCGGGCAATTGTTTCTTTATTTTGCAAGTATACACCATCTGTCGCACCACAATCAGTATACAATTCAATGCATAATTATTTGAACCTTTTAAACCAAATAATTTATCTTGTAATGAAAATGTTAATTTATTTCCGGTTCCAGTATTAATCCAGTGTTCTAACTTACCCCAAATATTTTTAACATGCGTACAGTCACATAGCAGATGTATAACTGTTTCAATCTGTTCATTACAAAATGTACATTCTTTTCTTGGGACTAAATTCATTTTAAACAGTAGATCGTTCGTATATAATATGCGTTGCAAGACTTTTAACTGAAACCATCGTAAGCCCACATCAATAGTACAATTAAATCCAATAGAACAATATGTTTCCCAACTCTTATCATTCAGGTCAAAAATGCATTTCCATTTAAGAAAACTTTTACATTGTCCTTTTCTTCTTTTTAATAAAATTGCATAGATATGTGAACATCCTTTAATACGTTTCATAACAAATGCCATTGTATCTGGGAAAAGAGGTTGTGGCAGCTTGTTAAAAATAGTACAATTGTTAAACCCTTGTCTAAATGCATCGCATAATCCACGATAAAAAAGAAAATGTATTTGAATATTATACTTTTCTTGAAAGTGTTCCAGAGAGAAAAAATCACCATTTGTGTCTAAAATATCGTTAACAAAACGAACTCCCTTTTGACACAATTTTTTATTATATATTGAGCTATTGCCTATTTTAATGTAATCATTATTCCATAAGGGTTGGCAAGAAAAGTTATCATAATGCATGGACAAGAGCGTACTATAAGCCATGAACATTTCTTTCCAAAAAAATGTTCTTTGTTTTACCTGCCAGTTCCCGAAAATAATTGTTTCCCATATATAATTTTAAATCTTGCCGTTCAGGCAAGAAAGATTGCAAAAGACAGAGGATATTGCTATCTATTGAGCCTATTACTAATCTCTTAATCCAGGATATTTTTAATGATTGGCAATGTGTGTATATATCTATCATTTTAACCCCTCCGTCTGAGTAACTTTGTGACATTTGATTTCTACTTATTTTATCAGGTTTCTCCCCCCATATAAATCTATAAAAGTGAGCATTTATATCTTTCAAAAGATTTTCACCAGGATTAGGGAGGGACAAAAAAGGTAGTTTAATTTGGATACCAACAATGACTTGACAACAGTGATTCTTCCAAGAACAGTTAAGTATCGTCTTAACCACGATGTCATTTGACTTTTTATTTCTTTAAATTTTTCATTATAATTGTGAATTATCAATTTGGGCAAATCCGTACAAAAGTCTATACCTAAATATCTGAAATAATCATTAAACACCCAATTTAGATTTCTATTCAAAAGAACACCATCTTTCTTGTTTTTAAATCCTCCAATCCAAATCGCATGTGTCTTCTGTATATTAACTTTTAAACCAGACATTGCATTATATTTATCTAAAATGTTTAATGCACTGTTTAATTCCATTACTGACCCGTTCAATGTTAGAAGAGTATCATCTGCATATTGAATTATTTTAAGTTGTCTACCAGGTAAGCTCAAACCAACAATGGAATCGGAATTTCTAAACAAGAGACCTAGTATTTCGGCGCATAACAGAAAGATAAGAGCTGACATGGGATCTCCTTGACGACAACCTCGCTCTATTGAAAATCTTGGAGACAGGTGTCCATTGATTAATACACAGGATTGAGCATTTTCATAGAATACATTAACCCATTTTACAATAGAGGGACCAAACTTGAAGAAGTGCAATACTTTTCTAATGAAATCATGAGAAATAGAATCAAATGCTTTTTCAAAATCTATAAGCAGCAATAAACCAGGAATGTCATTGATATCAGTATACAATAATAAATCATATAACAAACGGATATTCTCTCCAATGAAGCGCCCTGGCATAAAGCCTTTCTGGTTTTCATGTATAAGAAAAGGAAGTACGTTCTTTAATCTGTTTGCTATACAAGAGGAACCTAATTTATACACCACGTTCAATAAAGATATGGGTCTCCAATTTTTCAAATAATGTCTATCTTTTTTTCCTTTGGGAATTAAAGTGATGACTCCTAACTTCTGTGTATAGGACATTCCGGATGAATATGCAGAGTTCAAATATCTCACTAAAAATATGTGTAATTCTTTCCAAAAGTGTTTGAAAAATTCGACGGTGTATCCATCTAGACCAGGTGATTTATTATTTTTCATATTTATAAGTGCTTGATGAACTTCATCGATGGAGAGTTCTCCTTCGAGCTTCTGTGACATTGAAGCGGTTAATTTACTTATATCTGGATCATTTAATATTGTATTTAAGTCTACATTAACAACAGGATTATTTTTATACAATTTAGAGTAGAATAATACAACTTCTGATATAATATCATCATGCGATGTTATCTCCTTGTTTTCAGTAGTGACCAATTTGCATATACGTTTATTCACAGCATTTCTTTTTTCTAAATTCAAAAAATATTTTGATGGTTTCTCGCCATATTCCATCCATTTAATTTTAGACCTCATCTTTATTCCTTCCATTTTTTCTTTTCTTAGTGATTCTAACTGAACTTTCTTTTCATTTAATATGACTAAAGCTCTATTTTTGTCCGTTTTTGATATCAATGCCTTCTCCAAAGCTATAATTTCTTTCTCTAAATCATATTCTAAATTTACCAATCTTTTTTTTCTTTCTGGCCGAGTATAAAATTGTTTCACCTCTAATTATGGTCAACAACGTATCAAAAAATAACTGATCATTTACAGTAAATTCATATTGTGTATCTTGTCCTTCTACCTCAAATCTATTTGCATTGTTATTATATGGGACAGAATAGGTCTCAATCGTTTGTTGAATGACATCTTTAATTTTTTCCACATAACTATCATCCCTTAACAACGAATTATTGAATTTCCAGTAACCTCGACCTACCATACAATGATTTAAATTCAAAGATAGCTTGATCAGGGAATGATCGGATCTGTACCCAGGTAAAATTTCTATTTTATTAACGAGTGACAGTAGTTCAGTGGAGACCAAAAAATAATCCAATCTAGCCGCCTTAAAGGGAGTAGGTTGCCGCCATGTAAACATTTTTTCCAGGACATGTAATTCTCTCCATGGGTCTATCAAATCTAAATCATTCTTCATTTGATCGACTTTTTTCTTGGCATTAGGATTATTATTAAGGCGAATATAATTATATGTATCTTTATCAAAATCTTGAACCAAGTTCCAATCTCCGCATAAAATTGTTAATGGATTATCAAAATCCAAAGCAAGTCTTTCAATATCTGCATAAAAACTAACACTATCGTGATTAGGACCATACAAGGATATTAATGTTATGTCATAGCTATATATCTGTAGGTCTAACGCAACAAAATTCCCTTCTTTTGATCGCTCAATCTTATTTACATTAAATTGCACCCCTTCCCCAAACAAAATAGCAAC